TTACTGTCAATTTGCTGCAACTTTTTGACCTGTCTTAGAATGGTGATCTTTTGTACATGCATGCCTCTGCTCAGTGTCTCCATAAGGTTGATACAACATGCATCCTTGAGGTTCATTACAAACTGTAAAGCTCTGACTGTGAGTTGTACTCTCAGGTTGGATGGCCTGCTCTGGCAACCTGTAGGCTTCTACACTTCTTGGTCTGCTTCCTCACTATCTATGTGTTTTTATCACGCAGAAAAGTACCGGACAGTATTCTTTTTGTTCTGAGGACCTCTTTATGCTCTCTGTCCCAAACGCTCAGACAGAAATTGGGAAAAGGGCTTTTAGGTATTCTGCACCCTCAGCCTGGAATCTGTTGCAGAGTGACTTGAAACTTGCGGAGCTTGTGTCCTGGAATGTTTTTAAATAAAAAATGAAAGACATGGAAGCAGATTCTATTGGATACTGATGTTTTTAGCTCGACTGCTTTAACTACTGACTCCCAGATTTGACTGGTTCTAGATGATATAATAGATGGTTCTATTTAAATGCAAAATGTAGTGTCTTTGTAAATTGTACTGCGTCTTTCTTTGTGTCTCTGTCTGTAGCTCTGCGTTTTTGCTGCTGCCTGTCTTGGCCAGGTCTCCCTTGAAAAAGAGGTTCTTAAATAAAAACTTTTAAGGAGAAGCAAAGGAGTCATTAATTGTGTAGTTGACTTGAAGATACTGTGAGGAGTTTTAGCTGAAGAGACTGAAATCAATAGTGATGCCTTTTTATGAACTACAAAAAAAAAACAGCGACAAAATGTTTAACATCTACTGTCATTTTAGTCCCCTGTTGTCTCCCTCCCTGGTTCTCCCTTGTGAGGAGGAACAGGTAAGAGATGGGGGTACTCACAATCTCTGGGCATTGTTTCCCAATTTGACTTTGTTCTCTTTTTTCCCCTACTCAGGTATTTATTTATTTCTCCACGCATGTTGTGATTGCAGGGTTTTGCTGTTTTAGTTTGGGCTGGAGATCACCAGTAGTCCTGTGTTCAGTCTTTTGTTTTTCTCACAGGTTAGTTTATTTGTTTGGTAGTTATAGGGGAAGGTTCTGAGAGCAATGACCTGTTGCGTGCTCAGCACCTTCACATCTTTTGTTGTTCTTTCTGCACCTTTTAACGGTCTGCATGGTGGGTCTGGTTCAAGTCTAAATGTCTGAGTCAACAGTTCCCTTTTTTGTCTTTTTGCTGTCTAAAACACATAAAGATGTTAATAAGTGATTGTTTATACTCAATCAATTCATATTCATTATGTTATCAGATATTCCATTTGTTTTTCTTACGTTTTATGATTCTTCTTTTTTGGTAGAATATTTGACATCCCTAAAAACGTTGTAGCCTTTTTAAAATCACATAAATCACCTCTGTTACTCCGTCATGAAAATATGACAGCACAATATGACGTAGTGTTTTTTTAATTGGTAAAGAAAATATGATTGATTCATCATGTTTCTTTGGTCTTGCTATGGTATTTCAGATTAAAAAACATTAATCTGTTTAAAGACATATATATTACATGACTTTTGATCAATGCTTTGTAACGCACAGAACATTTAGACATTTGACAAAGGTCGGTCTACTGTGCTGTGTTATTAAAATGTTTCCATGTGAACAAATGTTGAGCGTTGACACCTCTAGCCTAACACTTTTGAATGCAGCACCCTGCCCCTCTGTGCTGAATGCCACAATATGTGCAAAATGTCATTTCCTTATAGCTGTGAAAAAATAGCTCTCATGCATTCTGCAGCAACCACAGCCATGTTGTCCTCACACCTTCAGTTCGCTGAACTTGTATTCTTAGAAGAGGAAGTGATGAGAAAGCTGAGCCACTTAGTGTTGTGACAACAGTTTGTGTTGTGACAACAGTTTGTAACTTTTAACCACAAACTGTTTGTGATGACATTTGATCAAAGTGTAATAGATCCTGCTCTGTCATCTTAAAAACGAAAACTAGAATAAGACATGATAAGTCATTAAGTCGTAACTTTTTTTTACTAAATAAAGTATTTCACATTATATCCTTACTCCCTTTTCATTTGATGACTACTGCTGTGAAAAAAGGTTTTTCATTTTATCATCAAGACCTGTACTGACACTACATTATGTACTCAAATGGAAGCTATAAGATTTTGACATTACACATATACAGTAATACCAGATATCACAGGTGTGTTTGTGTAGGTCTGTAGACATAATGAGAGATGATCTTTCTTTCTTTTTTTTTACTGGTAGAAAATAATAAAATAAATTCATTTTGCACATTGTACAAATCATTGTCCTGCTAATTAAAACAAATCAGTAAAATAAATAATATTTCAAAAGAAATGAGAGAAAACATATAGACACCATGTTATAGATAAGGAGTGATTTCAATTTCCACTGATTAGCTTTTTGTGTTTGCTGCAGTTTTGATTTTTTAATTGTCTTTTTATCCTCTATTTCTTAAAAAAAAAAAAATCATATCTCAAAACGACATAAACACAAGTTATGAGCTACTCTTAGTAAATCATAGTAAAACGGCACAGTCTAGTGGACAAAACTGTGAATTACATCAACAACAAACGAGCGCTTCCTGCAAATTGAACTGCAGGTAAGAGAAACATTGACTGTCAAGTGGAAATAATTACTTCAACTGTCTTTGTTCCTTCACACAACTTTGATCCCTCACAAACTATCCTGGAAGATGCAATAGTGCATCTCTGTACTTAAAGGCACTGATCATATCTGTTTACCTTTAACACATATAAGTTGTTATAATGACCCTACCTGGTGAAGGTTCTGGAAGATATTTAAACTCATGATGACTCAACAGCCGTCTGCCGTAATTGGCCAGGCTTGAAAATGGGACATGGGGAGATGGGATAAGATGATAAGATGTTTCATAATGTAAAATGTGTTTTCAGGACCATGTCTGCTCATAAACATTTGTGCAAATGATGTGCCAAGTTTGAGTCTTCAAAGTTGTTTTCATGAGATGATCACTTCGGTTTCTAACGTGAACAGGATGAAAGACGTGATGATCTTGTATTTCCTCTTTATGTGTTGCTTTTAGCCCGATAAGTCTTCCAGTAATGAGTTAAGAGTTATGTAACTCAGAGCATTAGACAGGAAGGAAGACACTGTTGTTGCAAAGGTTTTGTAAACACGTTCTGTCTCTTTAATAAAACTTGTTATTTTGAATTTTCTATATTTCTGGGCTCCCACATCAGGTTATTTAAAGTAAAAGATAAGTTTTTTCTTCAGCCCTTTAAGACTGGTTAATTATATATCTTAAATATGGAATTCAAGAATATTGGTGGGACTACCTTCACACTAGAGTGAAAAACCACTGCTGTCCCATCCCACTCCCACAAAAAAATACCATCCAATCCCAGAATTGAAAAGAAAATCCCATGGCATCTTAATTCTTAAAGAAATTAAGGAATTAAGATGGCATCCTGTCCCATCCAGCTCCCGTTTAGTATTTTTACATTTTTAATTACTTCAAGCGTGTGTCTTGGGGCCAATCTTCCCAGAGTCACTGCCTTTAACAATGAAGTTACATATTTTACAGACAGATACTGTGTTGCACTACAGACACTCTCGAACTGTTTTAGTATGTCCGACTTGCTCCAGAGAGCTCTATCTGTTAAAGAGAGGGATCATTGTTTTTACCTATTTTACCTAACTATTCTCTGCCTTTCTCACATCAGGTATACCTGCTCTCTGAGTCCAGTGATGTTTAATTTATGCCACGACTGCAGTGTGTGCATAACCGTGCACAGTCACACTTATGATTCCCACTCCTGTCTCTGCTCCCGCTGACTTGTTTTCCCTGTCCTGTCCCAATCCAGTAATTACTATAGTGAAATCCATTCCCAGGAATCCCCAAAAATGTCAGCCTCTACTTCACACTGAGAATTCAGGCATGAGAAAAATATTTATTTAATAAAAGCGTCCAGAAAGTATAAAAACAGTGGAAAGAAAACATAAAAAAACACAATTTTTAAGAATTTACCGGCTGAAAAAAATAAATAAGAAATGCTGATAGTTAACAAGACATTGCTTTTGATCAATGATCAATGATCAATCTTAAACCAGTCTTTAAAACATTGCTAATAGTCTAACAGACAATAATAAGGAAATATATTCCTGAAATATGTACATAAACTACCTTTTCAATGAGAAATGATACATTAACCATAATGTTTCATCATGCTAAATGGAGAAGGAATGCAGTCACTTATGTTATACAAATCAAATTGACAAGAAATATTTACATACTTTCTTTAACTTACATTTGAAGTCCATATGAGTTGCATAAATTGCTATTTAGATTAATTCTTTATTTATGTTTTTCAAATTGTATATACTTTATTAATCCCTGCAGGCCAATTCAGGTTTACACTCTGTATTGACAGATATGCTAATCACACACATAGGCCCTAAATACAAACATGCATTATATTAGAGAGATTTCAGAGTGAGGGGACTATGCACAGGGGGCACCTGAGCAGCAGGGGTTCCGATTCATAAGCAGAGTCCCTGCAGACATCATGAAATATCTGTACAGCTCTGCTAAAATATCAAAAAGACACAATGGTTATTCCCACTGATATCATCCCTTATTAAAAAGGAAAATACTTACTCTATAAAGAATTAAATAAGTTGATTAACTGGGGATCAAATTCCACATTCCAATTGAGAGATGACCAACTCTACCACTGAGCCACAGCCCCTAATCAAATAATTCACTTTTTTATCCTTCCTTGTAGCTGTTTCATTTCCTTTTAATCCGAAACAAGTTCATTTTTCCATTGTTAAATTAATATCACCTATATACCAGAAATGCCTTATTTGATTTCAGAATAAAAGCACGTTTGTATTCAAACAGGAAATAAAGCACCCTTAGCTTAAGAGAATGTTTTGTAATGCAAAATACAGGAATTCAAAAAATGCGATTAAAATGCGATTAATTGTGACTTAACCCAAAAACTATATTTTTGCAGCAATGTTCCATTTTAATACTTTTAAAATACAATGACCAAGATAAACCACATAAAAGCTTTTTTTTTTAAATATTCGATGCGCAACGTTTTGCAGTGAAGCAATCTGGTGCATTGGCTTCTAATGGCAGGGCAGTAGTTGACTTTATGTTTGTGATTGCAGTCCTCAGGAAATGAGTGGACCCTGTGACTGCACAACACCCCAGACTTGAGACTCTCTGTTTTCATGGCTGCTCTTGGATCCCTGTAGACAAAAACACATTTCAGTCAGTTTCCATTTTTTAAATAATTGAACTCCTTTTTTTCTCTTAAGCAAACTGATCCCATATCAAATGTTAAAGCTTTTATTTTGTACCAGGAAATACTCATTTGATTTATGTTAACTCTTATTTGGCCTCCTTTTGATACAATATGAGATGTAAAAATGGAGCCAAATAGATTTGACATTGTATGACTTCAAAGGCAGCACACTGCTACATTGAACTCTGATGTAATAAGCCAATGTGAAATGAAAAATTATTGGAGAGCAAAGTTTAACTTCACTTCATTCCACCTGATTCAGAGACACTGCAAATAGATATAAATATTTACTCGAGCTTTGCTGGAGTTGGAATGAGCTTGACTCTGTGTATGTCTTCTTCCTGGGTGCACAGCATTTTGACAGGATGTTTCCATACTCCTCCCTCACCTAAGCACAGAATAAAACATGAGTATTGACCTCAGACAAAGCAGCGGGTTAAAAAATATATAACGGCTGTAGCTCAGTTGGATAGGGTCGTCTCAACCGGAAGGTCGAGGGTTCGATCCCCAGCTGAGCAACAAGTCCGATGTGTCCTAGGGCAAGACACTTAACCCTGCATTGCTCCTGCTGCTTCGGTGGCGATGTATGAATGGATTATTGTTGTACTTACTCTCTGATGTACGTCGCTTTGGATAAAAGCATCTGCTAAATGAATTGTAACATTGTAACACTGTATTAGAGGATTGTGACCGACCTGTTTAGACGAATGACGAATGACGAAGAGCATGACCCCCTGAAAGCTGCCAAAGATGGTAAACAGGTAGGACATTACAATACTGCCCTCCTCAAACTGGAAACATCCAAAGATCCACATGGTGCCCAACACACACAGCTGAGCCACTGCAGTAATGGTGAATGCCCTGCAGGGGGCAACAACACTCAGAGGTCAAATCTCATGCACTCATACTGGAATAGAAATTGTCTCATTCAACACAATAAATACATTATCACATATTTAAACACATACACAGTCTGTAGTCCTGCAATAACTCACTTTATTTTCTGCAGATTGTCCAGGTCAGGGTGTAATCTTGAGAACTTCTGTGCCAATTTCCACACAGTCATGAGAAAGAAGAAAATGTTTATCTGAAAGGCAAAGGAGAGGCTTTAAAAAAGCACTGATCACAGTTTAGAGCATTTTCTCATCAATAATTATGTTCATACTCACAATGATGATGACACAGGCGGGGCCAAAGAAACTCCAAATGAAATCCAGCTTCAACCAGCAACTGCAATAACAATTTAGATGTAATTAAACAGACTGACAATGTAAGCTTGGGTTCAGGTAACATTTTTAAATGGAAATAACATTAGCATCAGTAGAGGGAACTCACTGTCTATCAGTGCCATATCCCTTGGCGTTAACTAAGGCAGAGATGGCGACGATTACAGCTGGGACTCCATAGCCACCTGCCATCATGTAGAGGGTTTTGAAGTTGGTGTTAAAGACCAGGATTACCATCCTGAAGAGTTGTATGCCCTCCAGGCACATCCAGCAAAATGCAGCCAGGAAGAAGAAATGCAGCAACCCTGCAACCACTGCACAGCCAACCTTGGACAGGGACAAGAAAGAGGAGAATGATTATGACTAGTAAGAAAAGTGCAGAGATTACAGAGAAATATGGTGTATAGAATAGATATAACTACTTATTCAATCAACTATATAAGTTTTAAACCCCCAGATGTGTCACTTAGCAGCTTACTGTTGCTCCATAAACTTCACTGTTGATTCAAATGTTTCAGAAATGTTCTGTGTTGATCTTGGCAATGCAGACATTTTAAATGTTACGTCAGTAATTACCGGGTTTTCTGTACGAGAGATGCCTGCGAGGAAAATGAGGTTGGCAATGAAGAGACTGATGCATAGGTGAAGGTGGATGGTTGTTCTGGGATTGTGGATGGAGCGTATAAACCAGAACGTCAGGATGCAGATGAAGAGGCAGATAAGTGACAGGGAAAGACCCACCCATGAGATCAGCTCTAACTCAAACCTGTCCTGTTCAAAGACACACAGAGAGAGAAGGGTTACATTACAAAAAAGAGAAAATTACTTTACACGCTGAACTATGTGCCTCAAGGTTGTTGTTTTTTTTTAAGATTTTGAACCTTCAAGTCATAAAGTGCCATGAGCACAGCAAAGCTGCTCAGATGGTTGCAGGAGCACACAGTGTATTCAGGATTGGACTCCACCACTCTGCAACCACGATCAGACCACGTCCCCCCTTCCTCTGAGGAGTTCCAGAACACACACACGTGGGTTTGGTTTGTCTGTGAAACAACATCGAGTTAGTAAACATGATAAAAGTCTTATCTTCAGGCATGAATATATTATTATCCTTGATAGAAAATGATGTAATGCTACCTTTTCCAGGTGGTTAAAGGTTAACTTGATAGGCTCTTGGAGATGGCTTGTGTTTGTGTTGCTGACAGAAACAGTCACTACTTTAGAGTTGATCTGAAAACGTTCCTTTCCTTTTGGTTTCATTCCACTGTAGAAACCCTCTGCAGAGCCTTCCAGGTTTGCATAGCTTAGCAGGGACACTGCTGTAAAGCCTTTCACAAAGCACAGAAAGGGGAAAAACATTTAATGTACATTCATTAAAGTGTTAAAACTTTAATTAATGAATTACAGTCAAGATAATTACCAGGGTAAGAGGAAGGATCTCCTGCAGCTGTCGCCATCTGCATGTCCAGCTGAGTTTGCATTGATGATAAAACCACAGCTCCTTGGGGTAAGTCAGCTCCCTTATGCAGCAGCAGCTGCAGCTCTGGACCCAGATACAAAGATCAACATGCACTGCTTGTCTGCTTATATCAAATACATGACTTCAGTCCAAAGTGAAATCTATGATAACATCTGAAGAAGTAAAAACCTCTTCAAGTAACACATTGTATTTATATACAAACACAGAGCAATGACAGAATTGCATACAGATATCTTTGTGAGTGTAGACTTTAATTAACCTGTGTGATTCGATGAGATTTTGGTTCCCGGGGGCTTCATGAAAGGTCCTATGAGCTTCAGTGTGTTTTCCACCAAGTCAAGAAAGATGGAAACTTTCCTGTTATCACTGAAGGTTTCACCGGACAAGAGATTGTCGATGACAGACAACAGTGTCTGTGTCCACAGGAGGGGAGAGGGAGCAGCATGAGCATGTGTAGAGAGAAACAGGAGACAGAGTTGGTCTGAGGCAGACTTTCAGGCTGCATACCGCCTCAGGTCAACATAAACAGTCTACAAAGTCGCTGACAGACATCTGAGAATAACATGACAGAGCCTGGAGGAAGCAAAACTTCCCGTTTCTTTGTTTCTTGTGAGGAACTGAAGACATCTTTGCATAATCACACTGTATTTCTATTACTTTAAGTGACCATATACCTTTAGTAATTCCTCTCCATCCAGCTCTGATGAATCCTTACTTTCTGTCAGCTTTAGACAGATTTTATTCAACTGCACCACCAGGTCGTGTGCAACAGGAAATGTCTAGAAAAGCAGATTTAGAAATGACATAGAAGTGTGAGGCAGTAGACATTAGGAACATATAATGAACTTTACTAAGAAACATGATAAGAGTTAGTGTTCCATTACCTCTCTCAGATAGCTTGTATCTTTGTAAACATCACAGTTTAACGCTGAGGAAACAGGAAGTAATGTTTGATTAAATGTTCTTACTGATGCCTGATAGCATTAATATAAGAAGGATGCTTGTGGTAATGATTGTGTTTGTTTTATATATTTTCAGAGTAAACACAAGCTCAGTAATAAATGTAGGAAAATAAAAAGGTGCTACTGTGTTCTTACCAGTGCAGCGAGACCCATTGTTGCCATAGTTGGTAAATCCAGCATGGCAAGCACAGTGATGACCATCGGCTCCACGGTGGCAGGTTCCATTTCCACAGATTGTCTTATCAACCTTACATATGTCTAATGGAAACAAATCAGTGGGAGGAAAAGTGGTTCAAATGTGTGGTCCAAGTGGGAGAACAAATATCCTGTTCCATCCATAGGTTTACAAAGATAAGACAGAAATAACATAAAGTGGGCTGGACACAAACAAAACACGGGGCCACGCTCTCAAAACCAACCAGTCGCAAACTAGTCATTTACACTGACAGCTGTCAGCTCCTTAAAAATCTCTCATTGAATTATAGGAAAACTGAATGGCCAACAATTTAATTCTTATCGTCTTTAAACTAACTTAACTTCAACTAACGTAAAAGTTAGAACTGTAGGTTAACCTACATCATAATCAAGCCTTTATCATTCTAAGAACCAATTTAAGAAACTTTATGAAATCAGTTGTACAAAAAACTGAATTTAAGCATTTTACAAAATGGTAACATAACTCTCACCTTCACATTGACCCTGTGTCCCAGTATAGTACGGTTGGCCAGATGTCAGTCCAAAACCAGGGTTGCAGAAACAGCGATAACTGCCCAGTGTGTTGATGCATGTTGCATTCTGATCACACACCTTGTCAACTTTACATTCGTCAACATCTGTATGAAGAGGGAGAAGATTTAAAGGCATCGTTTGGAAGGGAAAGCAACACTCCAAAAACAGAAAGAGACTAGATAACTCATGTCTGCAGCACATAGAGAACGATTAAAGCTGCCTTTAAAATGACATGGTACAGTTTGTACTAATAGTGAGGGAACTGATACACATCTTACCTGTACATATAGCTTTGTCAGTGTGGCCAAAAGTCTTTCTTCCTGCTGTGGAATTGAATCCATCCTTACAGGTGCAGGAATAATGTGGAATTGTATTCTTACATTCAGCGTTCGGTCCACAGATGTCTTTTTGGGTCAAACACTCTTCAATATCTTCAATGAAAGGATTAAAGTGCAGGATGTTTATAGCATGATGATGACTGCTGATGTTAAAGTTGACTCTTTACTGTCACTAAGATAAATTATATAAACAATAACTTACCTTCACATTCTATACTTGATACTGACCTGAAACCATCAAAACATTTGCAAAAGTAGCTTCCTTCTGTGTTCAAACAAGTGGAATTCATTCCACATAGTCCAGAACCAGGATTACCATCCATGTCAACACATTCATCTACGTCTAAATTATGGAAAGAAAAGAGGGATAAAGATGAACATCACATACAAAAAAGTGCTGGGAAAAATATCATTAATCAAACAGATTATTTATAACACACACACACACACACACACACACACACACACACACACACACACACACACACACACACACACACACACACACACACACAACAGAGAAAGAAGTGAAAGTGATTCTCTTGGATGAGACATGAGTGGTGCTCTTTGTGAAAGCCCACCCACACTACTCTAAAACAAATCTCATTGAGCACACTGCTTTTTTTTTTACTCAGTGATTACAGATTTAAGTGAATTATTGAATGGCCTGAAGGATAATGAGATCTGTTATGATGACAGCCAAGAGAAAAATACAGTAACAGTACACCTATATTAAATTAAGATCTGCTATAAAAAGCTGTTTCATCAATGAACTGTAAACCTTTAAATGAATGATGACTTCTTTTTCTTGATTTATTTCAGAGCCCTGCTGGCAAACAAATGTAGTTTCATGAGCAGAAAATCAACCTTTTCATCGTAGATTATTCATTGATAAGTCAATGCAAAAGGCAGCTTTACCTAACAATTGACTTTATCACAGAATATCTGACATAATAAAATATTTTCAACCGATTCCAGTGAAGATCAAGGTCCGAAAATCTACCAGCTAGCCCCTTTGAAGCTCAAAGTTTGGAGCACATGGACTTTTGCTGGATTTAGGTTAACGCATTTGACCTTTTCTTTGCTTTTTCTTTTTGTTACAATAAATGGTTTTTTAAAATCCATTCAAAGAAATGAAGGGGGAAAGACCACGTGTGATGTCACAGGGTTTAGGGGCCCCTATCCTGTGGTTGTTTAAAAGGTTTAAAACGGATAAGAGTGATCCGGACTTGGTAATCCACCTATTTTAAAAACTAAGTATATTAAAATCCAGCTTACTTTTAGCGGAGGACAAACTGAATTGAGAAAATGCAGAGTATAACACATAAAGTTGGCCAACCTATTAAAATAAACTCATTATCTTATAGCTGTGGACACATAAGACATTTGAGGACATCATCTCGGGCTCAGGGAAAGACTTGTAATCATTTTCTGATACTTAAACCAAAACAACAAAGAAATAACTGACACACACACACACACACACACACACACACACACACACACACACACACACACACACACACACACACACACACACACACACACAACACACACAACACACACTTACAACACACACACACAACGTATGAAAAAGACTCAGTTGCCACATTATGTCTTATTATTTTCTTTGGAAGGTTATGTTATATGTAAGGTTAGCATTTCATACCAATACATTTGTCCTTAAGCATAATAAATCCATCTTGGCAGGACAGGACTACAGGGAGGGAAAGGTGCAGAGCTGAAAAAAAGGCAACTGTCAGTCTACAGTTCATCATTTTGAACATTAATGCATTAACATGCATCCCATACTTTTCTCTCTTAAAATGAACTCAAAGTTTGGGCGCTGGTGGCGCAGTGGTTAGTGCGTGCGCCCCATGGAAGCTGTAGCCTTCCAAGCGGGCGTCCCAGGTTCAAATCCAACCTGTGGCTCCTTTCCTGCATGTCATTCCCCACTCTCTGTCTCCCTGATTTCTGACTCTATCTACTGTCCTATCTCTCAAATAAAGGCACAAAAAGCCCCAAAATAAAAATCTATCTACTGTCCTATCACAGTCATTAAAAAACTAACTGAAATGTTTCCCTGCAGGAGAGTGAAGGTTCAGTTTCACAACATTAAAAACAACAATGCAGAGTCAGTCCTCTGTGGCTGCCTAAATGGCACCAAATGGAGGTAATGTACAGTATGTGGAAAGCGGAAGAATTCCTTTTGCAATATATTTTTTTTAGATGATGTCATTTTAGGACCTTTGCTTCTGTTGAATTTGTTCCAAGTTAAAAAAAAAAAAAAAAACATTGATAAACAGAACATTTGACATGATGGCTTACCTTAAGATTGCCTTCTTATCTTTAGATAGGATCATGTTAAAAAAAATAAGCATCCTGTGCTGATCAACGACCAAGTTATTTTAGAAAGTGGAACAAGTCTCTACATATTGTAACCCATGGCAACACATGGATTTCCTGCCTCTGAAGGCAGATGTGTAAGACTTTGGTCACTATCAGGCAACCAGTAATGTGAACACTGTGCGATGAGCTCATAGTGTAAAAATATCTCTCTAAAGCAGAAGAACAGAAGTCCTCTGTGCAGCGGGGCCCAGATAGAGGGCCGATAGAAGAACAGGTGCTGCGTTAAGCATCACCTTCCTTCCTCTATTCTGAAAATATTTGGGGTCTTTCCCACACCTTTGCATTTCTTACATTAATCATTTCTCTTGAACTTTGATGAAAATAATGTCTGATTGTAACTTAGTGGAAAAATGACAGAACCTAAAACATTAACCTATTGTACTATTGTATTTCTATGTAAGGCGCTTTTGTCAACATATGTTAACTTTATTTGAATCAACCTAGTTACTTACTTCACTTAAAAGGTAAAAGCTGACAGAAGTTTAATAAAGTTAAACACTCAAAGTATGTACAGAATCTTTTTTGTGATCTTAAATGTCTAAAGTGAATTAAGCTCCCACAGAAAAACAAACACAGATACAAATACCCGTTCTTAAAATCTGTCCTGCTTCTGTTGCCGGATAGTTTCCCTCTCTGGAGCACAAAAAATGTCCCTCAGCAAGCTGCAACTGGATGACATATGTGACTCACCCAGAATCAGGAGGTTCCACCTGACTGCCATGCTGTAGAGGGAAACACTGTCCAAAGGAAAGGCTTCTCTTCTCTTCTCTTCTCTCAATAAAGTGTAAATAAATGCTGATATCAGTGGTGTCTCAACAACTATCTGTCCTTACTGCTACTTTCTGGGTCTGTCTTCCCCCCTATGACTCTGCTCTCATTACTGAGGTGACATGCTGAGATGACGGGTTTTGATAATGAGGGGGTTCGCTCTCTCTCTTTCTCTCTCTCTCTCTCTCTCTCAGTCCCGCCTGTGAAACAAAAGTTCTGGAGTTACTTCAGGCACTTCTGCTCTTGTTGGGGCGGGGTTATACTGAAAGGAAATGATTGTGCCAACTCTCTCAACTTTTGCTTCCATGACAGAAGTGTGTTACTTAACTATGTTTTTTTTTCCACAGGTAGGTTTCAGTCTCTCTTTCAGTCTATCTGTTTAGTGTCTTTCCACTCTGTTGGTTGGGGTCACTCAGAGGGTCAAGGGGGGAGTTTAGACTATAGACAAAGTCCAGCTGGTGGGTCAGCCCTCCTATAAGCAAAGTTTTAGCTCAGAGTCTACTTATTATGGTGTTAACATATATATAGGTTTTGCCTCTGAGTGGGTCCAACTGAGACAATGTAACAATGGTAACAATGTTGAGCTTCATTTAGTAAGAAGTGGACAATAAACAGGCAAGTATATCAATACACACAAAGAGTACACTCAATACACTCTGAAGAGGAACAGGGTTCTGTACTTTTCTGTCAATGAGAGGGCAAAGGAAACAAGTCATGGAAAAGTAAGTTCTTCAACATTTCAAACAAGTGTGTAAAGCACTAAACCTTGATCTTTATCATTACTTGAAGTGTGTGTTGATGATGCATTAAGAAACGTAATGTCATTCTTTTCATCATACATTTCTGAAGTTCACTTCCTCTGCGTCACAAGGCGCAGATGCTGCTGAACATAACGTTACTTAAGATAGATCGCTCTATAGATGTAACAGGTGTGTTAAAATACTTTGTGAAAATTATTTATATTTACATTTTGTCATCTTTTTCAAATACGAATATTTTTATATGCACTTTTGTATTTTATTTTGGAATTTTTTTTTTTTTTTGGTCTGCTGTGATGATCTAAATAGTGGTTCAACTATACTTCGTTAGGCTCACAGACGTTTTAAAAACATTTTAACTGTTGGTTAATGTATTTGAAGAGTTTTATTTGTCGTACAGCACTTAGTTTTTATATGCTAATTAGGCGAACTTTAAGCTAGAGCATCCGTGTGATTTCTCATGTGGTCCGCTGTATTTTCTCCTTCCCTTTAAAGGTGTGCATGTTGAAGGCCAGTCGTATGAAGTTGTTGTAGTGAATGTATTTTATTTTACACAGGTATGTGAGCTCTTTCTTTGTTCTTGTTATTTACAGATATATTTGATCACAAATTATTTTGTTATTTTAATATAACGTGAAGTGTACAGTATAAGAAGATTAGTTTAGCTGTTTAAGTACATTTCGATTTTGACAAAAACACAAAATTGCCACTGTTGAGTAAGAAATAAGCTGAAATACAATTTATACTTTTTATTTAGTTTTTGTTCTCGTTTTTAAAAGAATGTCACAGCACACCGTATGCATTGTGTGAGACGGCCTGAGACCCCGCTGAGGAGAGGTGTGCATGTTGAAGCCCAGTCGTATGAAGTTGCTGTACTGAATGTATTTTATTTTACACAGATGATATGAAAATAAATCTGCTCCAGTTGGCAAGGAAGTTTTTGGTCTTCGTCTCATCGTACACAACACAACGCAGAGACATACGATAGCACACTGAGTGTCAGGACAGACCGGCTACATAGACATTTTGTGGGCTGCACTAGCCTGAGCTGAGAAAATCAGAGGAAATGCACACATGCTGTCAGCATTTATAAGAGCAACCAAATAGAACAAAACAAGTTGTTAAATTTTCTTCTGGTTTCCAGCTCACAGTCAACAGGGGCCCTTTCTGAATAGCCACAGTTCAGTAGGCAGTACATACTTTTCAGTAGGGACTTTTGTGGTCATTCAGTATGCATTTTTTGGGTCCATCTCAGTATACTGAACATTTCAGTATAGATACTAACTTCCGAGTTTCATGCAGTATGGATCGGATGCGTGCTTTCAGGAAATGAATTGTATTTTACCACCCACAATGCTGTGCTAAATTAAACGTAAATCATCAGGTCACGTCCGCCTCCAAATCAAAACAAACGAGCGTGGATTAATTGAATACATTTTTAATCTAGGGTTAAAGTCCCGACTGAAATCACTACTTTTAATCAACAACAGAAAATATAACAAATGTATACATTATTAGAAAACCTTTTCCCTCTATTTAAGTAATGATTTCACTATTTAAATGCGTCTTTATTGGTTTATTTTACTTTATATTTTGTATATCACTGTCTTTAATTTGTACTTTTCTTTATGTAGGCTACTGAACGACCTCAACAGCTTCTTTGCCAGGTTTGAAGCACACAACAGCACGCCCCCACAGAAGACCACCCCCCCTCCCCACAACCAGACCCTGTGCCTGACTGCAGCCAGCGTGAAGAGAACCTTCTCCAAGATCAACACCCGCAAGGCTGCAGGTCCAGACAACATTCCTGGCCGTGTGCTGAAGGACTGTGCAGAGGAGCTCAAAGATGTCTTCACAGACATTTTCAACGCTTCTCTGAGTCAGGCTGTTGTTCCGTCGTGCTTCAAAGCCACCACCATCATACCCGTTCCAAAGAAGCCCTCACCATCCACTTTCAATGACTATCAACCAAGGGGCAACCTCCGGTCTCGAAAAATGAAGCCTATGCGGAAGTACAAAAAACTGCAGTTCCTCGAGGTTCCGCTTGAGGCTGGCTGCAGAAGCGCCGGAAGTGCCATAAGCCCACAGCCAAAAAAGCCTGTTTTTACCACAGGAATCAACATATTTACAGCCTGGTTAAATTTTTTTATAACTCATCGGATTTTATTCTATTAAGGAAAACGGCTATGCCCATATTTGGTTGTGTCAGATTTGATTGACAGCTCTGCGCGCTGCATCTGTCTGCGCGGTCAGCAGGTCAGGAGGCTAACAGCTTGATCCGTCTGATTTCTCCTCTTTTTTACTTTGTTTGGAGAGTTTGTTTAACACATATCTGACAACATACATGGCTTGCTGTGCAGTTAACAGACCATCCAACAAGTTGATGCTTCAGTTTTTTTCGGTAAGTGATATAGTAGTGTTATATTTACTGCATACTCGTGTTTATATTTACGGACCTAGCTTGTTTAGCGTTAGCTTGTAAACCAGTCGGCTAACTGTGTAGCTCATTATTTACGGTCAATGGTTTAGAAATGTTTGTTAAGATGTTGTTGTTTAAAATAATGAGTTTGTGTGATGTTAGAAGCTAAAGGTTCATCTCGGTGTTTATCTGACATTATGATGAATGTTATACTCTACGTAAATGTGGACATTAAAAACAAACTTTGTGTAGTAATTATCCGTCAGTAACATAAACTGAACTGAACCTAATGTGCTGTGTAGGTTATAGAGGATGACATTAACGTTACATGGTTGATGTAGTGTCTTAAGGTTTGTGCAAACTGTTAACAAATTTGGTGTCTCTTGCACTTTGTAAGAGCATCTGTAACCATTAAGAACTATATTAATAACCATATTAATTTTCACTGAACTCATACACAGAATATAGCTGTAGAAATATAAAATATAAATAACATATGGAATGAAAATAAGATATAAAGCACATAGATATAAAGTATAAGAAATAGTTTGAAGAATACAGCCATGTACTGAGCTCATGTTAATAATAAATGAGTTACTGTATGTTCTGTACTAAAGCACAGAGAGTTGGGACCTGTTAATGATTTAAATAATTCAGGTTATATTTGTTTCATGTTAAGATGAAGTACTATCCACAATAAACTGCTTAATTTTTCCTCACACAATCTGAGACAATTTGATGTGGAATATCATTGTGTGAGTGAGTGAAGTGAGAGAGCTGAAAATAGCATGATTACAATAATGTTTATCTTCTTAACTTTGAATAGATGTTGATTACCTGAATACTGTACCTTTGTTGTCTGGGTAGTAAACTGTTGAATTTATAAATGTACTCTTACACACAGATGAATACAGAAAAATAGATGAGAACAAAAAAAATGATTTAATGAATAACTGATATTTTCTCTCTTTCTTTGCCATCCTGAAGACCCCTCACTAAAAGTCCATGTTCTCCTGGATCCATGTCACATGCTCGAGCTTCTTCTGAATGACTTTTCAACAGTCGAAGTTCTGGTGAGAGAAGATGGCCAGCAGATAAGACAGCAGTACATCAAGGAGCTCCACAAGCTTCAGGAGAAGGAGGAGGGTTTGCACCTTGGAAGACTGTATTCATGCTTCAGCTGTTCAAATAAAACTAGATCTCCTCCAAACAACTTGCAATCAAACTATTTTCTTCCCATTTTAAACCCCTTTGTCCAGTTTAGATGGGAGAAGTTGATATTATGTGATATTGATCTGGGAAGACTACATTTCTAAATCATTTTTAACTGTGTTTTTATTCACAAGTTATTGATCTTATTTACTCTCCATGTATCTTGATTTAAGAATGGGGCTGTGTTTAAGGGCATATTTTTGCAATGACTCTGTTCCATCCCACTTTCAGAAATGAACTACATTAGTATTTGGTAAAAAAAAATGTCGAAAGAATAAGAAGTTGTGTAAAAGTAGACTTCCTTCCCTTAGCTATTGAGTTGAGCATTAATGCACATTTTAGTCTTGTCATTTCAAATCTGAAATGTATACTCATAAGTAGAGACAAAGGAGTGCATTTATATAGAAATATTTATTTAATCTGGAAAACAACATTAAAAAAAGTCTGTTTTTACAGCAGAGATGAACATGTTTACAGCTTGGTACAAAACAAACAAATAGGTGTGATTAGCTCATGTCTCGATGGACACACACTGTACGGGGGGGTGAATGTTTTGATGACTCATCAGTTTTGATTTGATGAAGAATAAGAGTTATTCACAATAAGGTGTGTAGCTGACCAGCTTGACAGGCGGGTGCGGTGTAACGGTTTGTCAAGAGGCTTAAAACCCGTCTCAGCTCTAGCTCTCAGCCTGTGGGTGACATCACTCAGGCCATCCGGGGGAGACCTCCCTCACAGCGAGCTGTTGAAGAGAAGCAACCGAAGTCCACCCCAGAAGAACCAACACATACAGATGTTGTTGAGGCTCAGGTTTCTTCCT